AGCTGAGGTCAAGGCCAGGCGATCAGTACATTTAATAATTTTATATCAATGCTTCCTCCGCCTTTGCTCTCTCTCTTCTTTTTCCTCGCTGTCTCTTCTCTCTGTCTGCCTGAAGTCTGTCAGTCTCTCTGTCGCTCTCTCTCTCACTCCCTTTGCTTACTCTCACTCTATCCCTCTCTCTTGCACTCTCTCTCGCTGTCTCTCTATCTCTCTCAATCTCTCTCTCGCTGTCTCTACATCTCCCTCTATCTCTCTCTATCAATCTCACTCTCACTCTTACTCTCTCCATTTCTCTTTCCCTCTCTCTTGCTCTCTCTCCCTCTATCACTCTTTCTTGCTCCCTCTCTCCATCTCTTTCACTCTGCCTCCCTCTCTCTCTCTCTGTCTCCCTCTCTCTCCTCCTCACCTTCCTTTTCATCTCTCACTCCCCCTCTCTCTTTAACACATACTCACTCACACACCCAAACAAACCAACACATAAGCCCACACACAAACACCTATCTGGTTGGATACTGACGTGAAAGACGGTGGTGTTATTTGTATGATTTCTTAGGTCAGATTAATTCCCCTTTACAACTATTACAGTCGACCTAATTTAAAAAAAAAATCCAAATTGAATCATCTCGCGCGTTTTTAACATTATGCTAGTATCCCCCCCACCCCCACCACCCTATCATTTCTTTCCAATGCTCTACAACAGCGGTTCTCAACTTGTGGGTCGAAGACCCTTACGCAGGGGTCGCCCAAAGACCATCAAAAACATATATTTATGAAGTAGCAACGAAAATAATTTTATGGTTGGAGGTCGCAACAACGCGAGGAACTGTGTTAAAGGGCTGCGGCGTTAGGAAGGTTGAGAACCACTGGTCTACAGCAACCGCCGATACGTACCCTTCGACGAAACCATAATGCCCCTTCCGGAAGTCGGGTCTGAGGGGAGGAGGGCTTCTGTAAGGTTCCATGTCAGGGTCGATCTTTTCAGCCTCCACAAGGGCTGCGGGAGGAAGATGACAGGGAGTGAGTGAGGATGACAGAGAGTAAGTAAGGATGACACGGAGAGAGTGAGGATGACAGAGAGTAAGTAAGGATGACAGGGAGTGAGTATGGATGACAGAGAGTAAGTAAGGATGACAGAGAGTAAGTAAGGATGACAGAGAGTAAGTAAGGATGACAGAGAGTAAGTAAGGATGACAGAGAGTAAGTAAGGATGACAGAGAGTAATTAAGGATGACAGAGGGTAAGTAGGGATGACAGAGAGTAAGTAAGGATGACAGAGAGTAAGTAGGGATGACAGAGAGTAAGTAAGGATGACATCGTCGACAGTCTCCTTGTACACAAATGAGGGCTGACAGCTTTTAGCGCGGCCTACTCCATCTTAAACACACACACACACAAACACACACAAACACACACATCCAGTTGGCCCATCTTTACATATGCATAAACACAATACATCCAGTTGGCCCATCTTAACATATACATAAACACAATACATCCAGTTGGCCCATCTTAACATATGCATAAACACAATACATCCCGTTGGCCCATCTTAACATATGCATAAACACAATACATCCAGTTGGCCCATCTTAACATATACATAAACACAATACATCCAGTTGGCCCATCTTAACATATGCATAAACACAATACATCCAGTTGGCCCATCTTAACATATGCATAAACACAATACATCCAGTTGGCCCATCTTAACATATGCATAAACACACACATCCAGTTGGCCCATCTAAACATATGCATAAACACAATACATCCAGTTGACCCATCTGAACATATGCATAAACACACACATCCAGTTGGCCCATCTTAACATATGCATAAACACACACATCCAGTTGGCCCATCTAAACATATGCATAAACACACACATCCAGTTGGCCCATCTAAACATATGCATAAACACAATACATCCAGTTGGCACATCTTAACATATGCATAAACACACACATCCAGTTGGCCCATCTTAACATATGCATAAACAAAATACATCCAATTGGCCCATCTAAACATATGCATAAACACAATACATCCAGTTGGCCCATCTTAACATATGCATAAACACAATACATCCAGTTGGCCCATCTAAACATATGCATAAACACAATACATCCAGTTAGCCCATCTTAACATATGCATAAACACACACATCCAGTTGGCCCATCTAAACATATGCATACACACAATGACCCTTCATTGTTGACTAGACAATAAGCTAATTAAAGCCCATGGTCCCGTGTCTGATCATATCACACATCATATGCCATTACACGTGCCATTACAGGTCTCGTTTCACGTGTCATTACTGATGTCATTACACGTGTCGTTTAACATGTCAGTACGTGTGTCATTTCTTGCGTATTTACTAACAGGTTATTATACGTGTCATTTAACATGTCATTACATGTGTCATTGCATGTCTTATTACATGTGTCATCAAATGTGTCATGACACGTGTCGGTGAAAATTCGCTGTTCTCATATTTGAATGAATATTAAAAAACGGTTGAGAACTATAATGTGACCTCAATATTACAATAATGTGAGAACCATGAAAAAAAATTGAGAATGAAATAAAAAAGAAACAAACCCCAACATGCACAACAACATTGAGTCCAAACTATTATCATTTTTGTTTCGCCATCTTCAAATGTAAATATGCTTGCCAGCGCATTTTGACTTTGCGCACTTTAACTTTGCGCACCTTTACTTTGCGCCTATTTTATTTTAACTGTATATTCTACTTAAATGTCTGGTCTACTGGGTATTTACCGAAGTAGCGCTGGAAGTTCTTTCTGTTCTCAGCATTGTGGACCCACCCCCTGGCCGTGTGCTGACTGGAGGGCTGCGTCCAGCTCATGATTAACCACAGGCCCGCCCGGCTGGAATCACTGGAGTCTTGACGGATATCAGACGCACGAAAACTAGACAACAATCACAACAACAAAAAACGGGGACGATGGTGCAATGTATAGTGCATAACTGGTGTTAAATGGTGCAATGTAATGTGCAGACTGGTGTGAAATGGTGCATCAAGTGTATGTCGGACATCGGTGTGCAAATGCAACAGCTTACAAACTGTATTGTGAATCAGAACTTGGATGGTTTCGTTTTTGGGTGTGGAAGTTTGACGCGTACAAGTTGAGTCTGCCTTATTTAGGGAATACCCGATGACGTGGTACCAAAAATGTCAGGCATGAAACAGCCCCTTCAAATCAACGTTTTTCTTATAAATCTTTTAAAGGCATTTCAAGGAAATTATTTTTATTTCATATTAATATTCTAATGTCCCACTCGCTTTTACACTGCAGATTTATTTAACCAAGATGCCAATACATGGATGCAGCAACGAAACATTACCAGAACCAGAACTAGAACTATTTCAACACCCCCCCCCCCCCCCCCCCCCCCCCCCCCCCCAAAAAAAAAAAAAAAAAAAAAAAAAAAAAAAAAAAAAAAAAAAATAAATAAATTAAAAATAATTACGCACCAAACGCACTTGCGATATTAAAAAAAAACAAAACAGAATCTCATTTAGATCTAGCGCAATTATCGGGAATTTTTATCTCGTGAAATTAGTGGTTTCATATTTCCTTTATCCTTACCCTTGAAATACAGGAAAAAACTGGTTGTTGGGGGTAGTGCTGAAAATTTGATAGAATATTTTGTCATCGGAAACGATTCAGTGGGGTAGCTAGAGGAGGGGGAGGGGTGTCCAAATTCTAAAGTCCCCCCGGGGCCCTACAGGAGAAGTGCCCCTAAAGGCGTGTCCAAAATATTTTTTTACATTAAATAATGTTGAATGTCAAAATGCAGGGGCCCCTAAATCCCTAGCTACGCCACTGAAACGAGTGCAAAATTTCATCTCGATAGGTCGACGGTAAGTGGGCCAATTAGCTGTCCTAAACACACAAAAGCGAAGTAAACAGGATTTTAAAATAAGTTATTACGTTGTCTCTTTTTCTATGCATGTACGAGTAGCATCTTATTTCTTTGTCTCATTAATTGGGGCGGGGGGGGGGGGGGGACTCATTAGCAACCTGGATTTAAAAAAAAAACAAAAAAAATAACACAGATATTTAAAAACTTGCAGTTGATGCCAATTTTTTTTTATTAAAAAAAACTTAAAAAATTTATTACGTTGTCTCTTTTTCTATGCATGTACGAGTAGCATCTTATTTCTTTGTCTCATTAATTGGGGCGGGGGGGGGGGAGACTCATTAGCAACCTGGATTTAAAAAAACAACACAACAAATCACACAGATATTTAAAAACTTGCAGTTGATGACCATCTTTTCTTATTAAAAAAAACTTGACAAAATAAATATGTTCAATTCATTGACTTCAGAAGTCAAGGAAGACAGCGGTAGACTCTGATGTTTCTAATTCAGATGACAAGGAAGACAGCTGTAGACTCTGATGTTGTTATTAGTTCAGATGGCAAGGAAGGCAGCTGTAGACTCTAATGTTTCTAGTTCAGATGGCAAGGAAGACAGCTGTAGACTCTGATGTTGTTATTAGTTCAGATGGCAAGGAAGACAGCTGTAGACTCTGATGTTGTTTCTTAAAAAAAGTATTTTCAACCTCCAGGCGGACTTCCATCTTGACATAAGTTATTATTTTTATAATTGAGTCATTATTTGGTGCAGTAAAGATCGATGTTTTATTGACGCTCTTATCTTCACCTCTTATCTTCATCTCTTATCTTCATCTCTTATCTTCACCTCTTATCTTCATCTCTTATCTTCACCTCTTATCTTCACCTCTTATCTTCATCTCTTATCTTCATCTCTTATCTTCACCTCTTATCTTCACCTCTTATCTTCATCTCTTATCTTCATCTCTTATCTTCACCTCTTATCTTCATCTCTTATCTTCATCTCTTATCTTCACCTCTTATCTTCACCTCTTATCTTCATCTCTTATCTTCATCTTTTATCTTCACCTCTTATCTTCATCTCTTATCTTCATCTCTTATTATTAAAGATCATTTCCCATCGTAGGTCGCCATCACGTGACATGATCCTATGTCATCGCCATCACGTGACACTGTCATACGTCATGAACTGGGAGGACGTTGGAGATGAACTCGCCCATGACGTTCCCCGGCGGGAAGTAACTAATGACAACAATTGAGCGGCCATCTTTGGCCTGGGACCGGCCCACACCGATCTCCGTGGAGTTCCGCCAGACCATCTGCGTGAAGTGACCTCAAGTGAACCGGAAAAAAAAAATGGAAGTACTTGTTAGGTGGATCGTCGTATAGTTAAGTTACGACTGACAATGGAAGGCTTTCGTCATAGTCGCTACATCCTCACTTATCACGACCCCCTTCAAAAACCTACCACAAAAACACTCTCTTCACAACCATCCACCAATCACCTACCACAAAAATCCTCTCTTCACAACCATCCACCAATCACCTACCACTAAAACCCTCTCTTCACAACCATCCACCAATCACCTACCACAAAAACCCTCTCTTTACAACCATCCACCAATCACCTACCACAAAAACCCTCTCTTCACAACCATCCACCAGTCACCTACCACAAAAACCCTCTCTTCACAACCATCCACCAATCACCTACCACAAAAACCCTCTCTTCACAACCATCCACCAATCACCTACCACAAAAACCCTCTCTTCACAACCATCCACCAATCACCTACCACAAAAACCCTCTCTTCACAACCATCCACCAATCACCTACCACAAAAACCCTCTCTTCACAACCATCCACCAATCACCTACCACTAAAACCCTCTCTTCACAACAATCCACCAATCACCTACCACTAAAACCCTCTCTTCACAACCATCCACCAATCACCTACCACAAAAACCCTCTCTTCACAACCATCCACCAATCACCTACCACAAAAACCCTCTCTTCACAACCATCCACCAATCACCTACCACAAAAACCAATTCACAATCAGACACTATCCATCTTTTTTTCCACCGTTTGCTTCCGAAATAACTAGTCTGTTAAAGAGTTTGGTGCACACACGCACCACGTGATCATGTACAATCTTGTACGACTATACCTTTTCCTATCAAATAAGTTTTAATCAAGCCTTGTCAGAAAACTTCCATTGAATCAAGGGAAATAACTCTCTTCACCCTCTTCGTAATTATTTATATGGTTCTTTCCCCTGAAATCCCATTTCAAATTCTAAATTACGCTCCCTCTTGACGTTGTAACAATTTGGTGACCACCGGAAGGAGTGAATATAGCGTTTTGGTGGTTTAGGATAGGCATCAATCCGACTTCTTAAAAGTAGATGACGTCATGACCAGTGTCTTGTTTAATATTTAAAATTGTTTGTTATCGGAATTCCTTCAAATTATCCTGAAAAGAGAGCAGATCCCCCCCCCCCCCCCCCCCCCCCCAACCCTGAAGCCAAGGACGTCATTTGGGTAGGGCAGGGTGGGGCATTTTCCCCCCACCCCCCTCCCTCCTGAATTTTTAGGTCTTATTTAAATTGCTGTGTACTGTGGCGCCGACAGTGATAAACAACTTAACAAGCCGACACGTTTTGGGTTACACCCCCCACTCGTGAAAAAATTGAAATGACGCCCCTGCCTGACACCCGCGTTAAACAGTTGGGAGGGGGGGGTTGGGGTTGGAGGTAATCATGACTTATCGAAGGCGCAAGAATATCCACTTGTTTTTGTCTGATGCTCATGATGTCTGCTTAAGAAAAGGATAATACCAGGACATTAAAAAATAAATTATATATCTAATGATACATTTTTTTGTTCGTCTCTATTGTTTTCACAAATCGCATGAATCTTGTTGAATGGCGGGGGTAGGGAGGGTTGGGGGGAGGGGGTGTTACCGCACTCAATGACACGAGGACATGGCATGCATCCCCGAAGCCAGGTTGACCAGCCCCATAACATCCAGTCGACACAAACCCGGACATTCACCTGCAGTTACGATGGGCGCCGTGGGTTCGACTCCGAACTGGAAGTTCTTGACCTCGTTGTACCACTGGTCACAGACTTCATCGGCTGCAGAAGGGTATCAGGACATATATACATCATATCTGTCCACTATAATCATGATTACATCATATCTTTCCATTATAATCATGATTATATGTAAAAAATGTAAGGCGGGCCGTAATACATTATAAAAAGCTTGTGCGGGCCAAAAGATAATAGGGCATGACTTGTGCGGGCCAAAAGATAATAGGGCATGACTTGTGCGGGCCAAAAGATAATAGGGCATGACTTGTGCGGGCCAAAAGATAATAGGGCATGACTTGTGCGGGCCAAAAGATAATAGGGCATGACTTGTGCGGGCCAAAAGAATATATGTCAGGGGGAAAGATATTAAGAAAATAATAAGACTAAAGAGTTTTTCGTTACCTCGTTCTGGTGGGCCACATGCGGCCCGCGGGCCGTATGTTGTGCAGGCCTGATCTAATGATCTGCACACGCTTCATCTTGGTTCAGATATTACACTTCAATTACAACGGGAGATAGTCTCAAACGATCGCTTGCTCTCTTACCAACGGGAGATAGTCTCAAACGATCGCTTGCTCTCTTACCAACGGGAGATAGTCTCAAACGATCGCTTGCTCTCTTACCAACGGGAGATAGTCTCAAACGATCGCTTGCTCTCATACCAACGGGAGATAGTCTCAAACGATCGCTTGCTCTCATACCAACGGGAGATAGTCTCAAACGATCGCTTGCTCTCATACCAACGGGAGATAGTCTCAAACGATCGCTTGCTCTCATACCAACGGGAGATAGTCTCAAACGATCGCTTGCTCTCATACCAACGGGAGATAGTCTCAAACGATCGCTTGCTCTCATACCAACGGGAGATAGTCTCAAACGATCGCTTGCTCTCATACCAACGGGAGATAGTCTCAAACGATCGCTTGCTCTCATACCAACGGGAGATAGTCTCAAACGATCGCTTGCTCTCATACCAACGGGAGATAGTCTCAAACGATCGCTTGCTCTCATACCAACGGGAGATAGTCTCAAACGATCGCTTGCTCTCATACCAACGGGAGATAGTCTCAAACGATCGCTTGCTCTCATACCAACGGGAGATAGTCTCAAACGATCGCTTGCTCTCATACCAACGGGAGATAGTCTCAAACGATCGCTTGCTCTCATACCAACGGGAGATAGTCTCAAACGATCGCTTGCTCTCATACCAACGGGAGATAGTCTCAAACGATCGCTTGCTCTCATACCAACGGGAGATAGTCTCAAACGATCGCTTGCTCTCATACCATCGGGAGATAGTCTCAAACGATCGCTTGCTCTCAAACCAAAACATATATCAGCTTTTATATGTTACGAGGTAAATATTTTAAAAGTAATTGTTATTTTACATTTCATTTTTCATTGTCCACCAAAGACGGCTTTTGGCCAATACGTTCGTTGTTTAGTGCTGTCGTTTAAAAAGGCTTTAACGACCAGTGTTCTCCTTAGTTTTATACCTTACAAAATGATTTGCGGGGTTCCACCATATGTTCATGTACATGTACAATTCACGACTCCCCATTGCACTCATCGCGTCTGCACATGTACAATGTACAACTTACGTCTGTACACAGCTTTGTTGGACGTCCATTTCATGGCAATGTTCTCCCCGACTCGGATGCCCTTGTACTTGTTGCCGCTGTGGGCAAGGTCCTGGGCAAACGACAGTTTGTCTGCCCATTGTTGCGTCATTGTGCATAGCTCGTCGTTCAATCTGCGGCGGGACGAGGCGACAAAGAGTGAAAGAAAGAACAAGATAAGTAAGAGGGGGGGAGTGAGAGGGGGATAGGGAGAGTGACAGTAAGGCAGTGAGTGGAAGAATGAAAGTGAGGCATGAGTGGGAGTGACAGTGAGGCAGTGAGTGGGAGAGTGAGAGTGAGGCAGTGAGTGGGAGAGTGACAGTGAGTGGGAGAGGGACAGTGAGGCAGTGAGTGGGAGAGTGAGAGTGAGGCAGTGAGTGGGAGAGGGACAGTGAGTGGGACAGGGACAGTGAGGCAGTGAGTGGGAGAGTGACAGTGAGGCAGTGAGTGGGAGAGGGACAGTGAGGCAGTGAGTGGGAGTGACAGTGAGGGGGTGAGTGGAACGTGACAGTAAGGCAGTGAGTGGGAGAGAGACAGTAAGGCAGGGAGTGGGAGAGTGACAGTGAGGNGATATTGAGGCGGTGAGTGGGAGTGACAGTGAGGCAGTGAGTGGGAATGACAGTGAGGAGGTGAGTGGGAGAGTGACAGTGAGGCAGTGAGTGGGAGAGTGACAGTGAGGCGGTGAGTGGGAGAGTGAAAGTGAGGTGGTGAGTGGGAGGGTTACAGTGAGGCAGGAAGTGGGAGAGTGAAAGTGAGGTGGTGAGTGGGAGAGTGAAAGTGAGGTGGTGAGTGGGAGAGTGACAGTGAGGTACTGAGTAGGAGAGTGACAGTGAGGCAGTGAGTGGGAGAGTGACAGTGATGCGGTGATTGGGAGAGTGACAGTGAGGCGGGAAGTGGGAGAGTGACAGTGAGGCGGGAAGTGGGAGAGTGACTGTGAGGCGGTGAGTGGGAGAGTGACAGTGAGGCGGTGAGTGGGAAAGTGACAGTTAGGCAGTGAGTGGAAGAGTGACAGTGAAGCAGTGATTGGCAGAGTGACAGTGAGAGGGTGAGCGGGAGAGTGACTTACCATAAGAACAGTGCCATCTCTGTGACTATATTAGAACAGTGCCTTCTCTGTGACTCACCTTAGGACAATGCCCTCTCTGTGACTCTTTATTAGAACAGTGCCTTCTCTGTGACTCACCATTAGAACAATGCCCTTTCTGTGACTCACCTTAGAACAGTTCCCTCTCTATGACTCACCATTAGAACAGTGCATTCTCTCTGACTCACCATTAAAACAATGCCCTCTCTGACTCACCATTAGAACAGTGCCATCTCTGTGACTCACCATTAGAACAGTGCCATCTCTGTGACTCACCATTAGAACAGTGCCTTCTCTGTGACTCTTCATTAGAACAGTGCCCTCTCTGTGACTCACCATTAGAACATTGTCTTCTCTTTGACTCACCATTAGAACAGTGCCCTTATGTGGCTCACCATTAGAACTGTGCTCTCATGTGGCTTACCATTACAACACAACCCTCTCTCTGACTCACCATTATAACAGTTCTCTCTCTGTGACTCATCATTAGAACAGTGTCATCTCTCTGACTCACCATTAGAACAGTGCCCTCTCTGTGACTCACCATTAGAACAGTGCCCTCTCTGTGACTCACCATTAGAACAGTGCCATCTCTGTGACTCACCATTAGAACAGTGCCATCTCTGTGACTCACCATAAGAACAGTGCCATCTCTGTGACTCACCATTAGAACAGTGCCCTCTCAGTGACTCACCATTAGAACAGTGCCCTCTCTCTGACTCACCATTAGAACAGTGCCCTTTCTGTGACTCACCATTAGAACAATGTCTTCTCTGTGACTCACCATTAGAACAGTGCCCTCTCTCTGACTCACCATTAGAACAGTGCCCTCTCTCTGACTCACCATTAGAACAGTGCCATCTCTGTGACTCACCATTAGAACAGTGCCATCTCTGTGACTCACCATTAGAACACAGCCTTTTCTGTCCCTTACCATTAGAACAGTGCCCTCTCAGTGACTCACCATCAGAACAATGCCCTCTCTGTGACTCACCATTAGAACAGTGTCTTCTCTTTGACTCACCATTAGAACAGTGCCCTTATGTGGCTCACCATTAGAACTGTGCCCTCATGTGGCTTACCATTAGAACACAACCCTCTCTCTGACTCACCATTATAACAGTTCTCTCTCTGTGGCTCACCATTAGAAAAGTTCCATCTCTGTGACTCACCATTAGAACAGTGCCATCTCTGTGACTCACCAATAGAACAGTGCCCTCTCTGTGACTCTGTGAGTTTGTGACTCACCTCAGAGCGTAGCCCTTGTGTTTACGTCTGATTTCATTGTGTATCTTGACGACGTCATCAGCAAACTCTTGATAGGAGATGATGCCTGGTTTCTGGTGGGTTAATGACATGTTTCTCACATTTGGTCGTACAGTAGGTGTCATTTATGGGGGAATGTGTCGTTTAGCTATCTTGCAATTACCTACTTAGATCACTCTTACAGGGGGGGGGCCCTTTGGTCCCCCCCCAAACCCCCGGGGGGGGGGGGGGGGGGGTGGGAGAATGTAAGATTGTTGATATTTTCCACCCAAATCTTTTTAAAGTTCTGCGGCGTGCCATGACGTATGTGGGGGGCATGACGTAATGTGGGGCGTCATGACGTAATGTGGGCTGTCATGACTTAATGTGGGGCGTCATGACGTAATGTGGGGCGCCATGACGTAATGTGGGGCTCCATAACGTAATGTGGGGCGCCAAGACGTAATGTGGGGCGCCATGAAGTAATTTGGGGTGCCATGACTCAATGTGGAGCGTCATTACGTAATGTAGGGCGCCATGACGTAATGTGGGATGCGTGACGTAATGTGGGGCACCATGACATAATGTTGGTTGCAATGGCGTAATGTGGGGCGCCAAGACGTAATGTGGGGCGCCATGACGTAATGGGCTACTAAGAGATTATGCTGAGACCGCAATCTTCTAAATGACAACAATTTCTGATCAATACAGCCGACTGATTTATTTAGTTATCTCAGAAATTCAGAAATGTAACTGTTTCATGGAACTAATCAGAGGTTATCTCCCTCTTTGTAAATCAGCTGTCATCAAACAATTGCTTAAGAAGCCTTGTCTGGATGAAAATAATTTTAAAAATATAGACCAGTATCTAACTTATCAGTTTTATCTAAAGTTATTGAAAAACTAGTTCTAACAACTTTTTGCTTTTTTAATTGACCACTATCTTCTCAGTTCTAACCAGTCGGCCTATAGACATTTCCACAGCACAGAGACGGCTCTCTTGAGAATGACCAATGACCTCTTGCTCGCATTGGACAGTGGTGATATCTCCATCCTGATCCTCTTAGACTTCAGTGCGGCCTTTGACACTGTTGACCATGTAATCCTTTTCAAAACCCTTAAAAATTACTTTGTAATTTCTGGTTCAGTTTTGGCTTGGTTTAGGTCCTACCTCTCTGATAGAACGCAGGCGGTCTCTGTCGATGGCTGTCTCTCAGGCAGTGCTGATTTGGTGTACGGAGTACCACAGCAGTCCGTTTTAGGCCCGATTCTATTCACATTGTATACCAGACCTCTTGCTTGGGAGGCAAGCTGTTGAGAGCCAGTCATTTGCATACCCACCCTTCTCTTATTGAATCCGCTGTCCAGACTTTGCGGGGGTGCATTGATGGTGTCAAGTCATGGATGACACTCAGCAAGTTGAAGCTTAATGATGAAAAAACGGAAGCACTCCTCATCCACAATCACACATCATCCTCTACCTCAACTCTTCCCACCTCATTTCAAGTAGGTAACTCTGACGTACGGTGTACACCCTCTGCTAGGAATCTTGGTTATATTCTTTATAACAACATGTCTCTCGATAAACACATATCTCACATTTGTCGTACAGCATACACCACTATCCGTCAGATCAGCTCCATACGCCACTATCTCACAGTTAGCGCTACAAAAACTCTAGTCTGTGCTCTTGTTCTCTCTCGTCTTGACTATTGCAAATCTCTTCTGTCAGGTTCACCAAAACACTGCATAGAAAAACTGCAGAAAGTTCAAAACTCAGCTGCTAGGCTAGTTTTAAAGGCAAAAAAACATGATCACGTCACTCCACTACTCCATTCCCTTCATTGGCTACCTATACAGGCACGCATTGACTACAAGTTGTCTGTTCTCTGTCACAACTTTTTCTTGGATTCCTGCCCTTCCTATCTAACCGCACTTCTTTCTGTCTAGTCACCCCTTCGACAGCTTCTCTCCTCTGCAGACACGCGTATTCTGTCCATTCCCAAGACACACACTAAAACATATGAATATGGTGAACGATCTTTCTCTTTCTGCGCCCCCAAACAATGGAATTCTTTGCCACTACACATACGCAATATACCAACCACCCTGAGTGATTCCCCTCCTCTGACCGATAAACGATCTTGCTGGCTGCCGTCCATGGTTTGCCATGTAAAATTTATGTGGTGGGGTGGGTGAATATAAATTTTTTTGGTTGTTCTTTATTTCATAAATGTATTTTATTTTAATGTCATTATTATGTTTCTTTTGATAAAATTTTTATGTACAGAGCGGTGAGCCCAGCCCTAGGTTGGGGTACCGCGCTATATAAGACCCATTATTATTATTAATCTTGTAGTGAACTTTATCATAGGACTGAGTAAAGCTGATGCCGTCACTGTCAATCAGTGTCATCAATGCCAATCAATGCCATAAATGCAAATCAATGTCATCAATGTCAATCAGTGTCATCAAAGTCAATCAGTGCAATCAATGTCACTCAGTGTCATCTATGACAATCAGTATCATCAATGTCAATCAGTGAAATCAATGTCACTCAATGTCACTCAATGTCATCTATGTCAATCAGTGTCATCAATGTCAATATTCTACACAAGTGGATCAATCTATGATACATTACAATAACTTTATTGTAATGCCATTGATTGTGAAAGTGCATCATATAATAAATTACCCAAACTGGGGGAAGTCCATTTTGAAGATAATCCAGTAACGCAAAGAAGGACATGGCTAAGGGATGACGACAAACTGAGGTACCAAACTGGTTTCAAAAT